TCCTTTCCCAAAATGAACTTTTAAAGCATGTTTTAGTATGAGCAGGGAGTATGCTATATTTAGTAAATTAACTTGATCTATACACTATCTTTTTCCCCTATTTATTCTAGAGTCCGACTTTTTCTGTCTATTTCAGAAGCTATGTGAGTCCGTCTTCCTTATCAAATCTAGACAGAGCTGGACCCTCAGAGTTGCAGTCATTTTCGGACACTTGGAAATCTCGATTAAGTGCAATGTCGATTAAGTATGAGTAATACAATTCTTTCAGATCTTATTTTATATACTAGTTTTAGATGTTCCTATTGCCTTCTCGAGTCAGGACTGTGTTGAGATATGATTATTTTGTCCAAGATACAAAGAATCGATTTCAAAAAGTACAAGAGGATTGAAGGAGAAGCTGTTTTCTCGAAGCTCATCGATGGCAGATATCGGTTCTGAGGTTAGGAGGGAGGTGAATGCTGGAATTGCTACTGTATCCCGCATGATGGAACACCTTGAAATTAGAGATAATAATAGAGCTGGTCGTATTCCGCTGGCAAACAGCCCAGTGGATTCTTCTGTCACAGCACGAAGGAACGATGATGATATGAACACGCATAATGAAGCACCATCGGATAACAATAATTCTGCTGCCTTCGCCACAAGTTCAGTTTCACATTAAGTTATATGACCTAAGATGAGTCAATCCTCAGCATTCCATCTTTGAAGGTGAGTTATTCTAGTGTCTGAAGTGGTCAAGAGACATGTTGATCTTTATGCAAGTAGGAATATATTTTCTAGGGCTAGATGGTAACCACATTGCCATTAGGGGCTTACATAGCTCAGATCTTGGTAATTCGCTGACATATATGACTAGGGATTTTGGTTCATAATATTCTAGAAGTTTAATTTTATGTGTAGTCATACAATTAGTCCTGAATCAATTTGATCTAAATTATAGGAAATAGGTGATCAAATAAAAAAAGGGAAATAAACCTACCATCGTATAATAGGGAAACAAAAGATTAGTTTGATGGTGGAAAAGCTACACACCAGTTATCTAAATTTCATGGTCAAGTAGGCAATATCAATTGAATAGTCAACTTAATTGTGATTTTTTATCTTTTTTGGAATGCTATTCTCTCATGAAGTAGCATTGGGAGGTCTACATTCTGTATTTATTTCTATAGTAACTCTGTGCTTTCCCTCTTGTTTTCTTTCCCTGGATGCTTCTTGAAGATTGAAATCACACATCAAATCATATTTCTCTTTGCAATTTATTACTATGATTGATGTGCAGCAATTAAAGATGAGATAGAGGATGAATGAGTGTATTCTTGTAGTGGCCCATTAAAGATAATTATTTGAAAATCGATTGAGATAATTAGCAGCGCACTTCGATGATGGTTTCTAGTCTATTCATCGGTGAGCATATGGGAATAGGTCTCCCAAAAATCATATAAAAGAGATGAACCTTTGTGATTTAACGTAGGAGATGACCTTGATAAAATGAAGTAGAGAAACAGGATCCATGTAGCTGATTCCACGCAACACAAGTAGGAGACAAGGGGTTTTTGAGTTCAGTTGACTTGACTTGATAAATGATCAAATAATGTGATGAATTTTCTAGTGAATTGACTATGGTAGATGCAGTATTACAGAGCAAGAGACAATTTAAGCTGCAGCGCTCTTGGTTTTGACAAATCATAATTTTTCATGCCTAGGCATTGAAGTTATGTCGAAGATGACGGTTTACCACGTAAGTGGATTGCATGTTTGGTATGGAGGATTAGATAGTAATGGACAAAATTAAGGAAAAGAAAAAATGTAAAATCTTGTTTATTATAAAACTATGTAGTCTTACCTGATACTATGTCCTAAAAGGGTACTTGCTAGTAAAGTTCAAGCAAAATTAGTTCACCTTCCGTAGTTAGAACTTGGTTTTAAGCCAACTCTAGAACTTGCTTGAAATGGTCGTGTCCCAAGATAGATTCAATAAAAGTCCCATTGATTTCTGAACTCATAAAATCATCGTGAATGTGGTTGCTGCTCTGTTTTCACAAGTCAATCGAGCACTCTTGTAAACACTCTAGAGTGATCCTATGTGGCACAAGTCGTGGTGGCAGTCACCGTGTGGCACAAGTCTTGGTGGCAGTCACCGTGGTGCTTAATGCATATTTGTTTGGTATTTGAGGGTGATGTTGAAATGTGAATTACTGAAATTGATTCTTTCTTTAAAAATAAAAATAAAAATAATTTTCGCGTATTCTAAGTTTTTACAAGAATTCAGTTTTCATTTTCAGGTGGCTTTCTCCAAAGATGACATACTGAAGATGAGAGACCTGGCATCTGTTCATTTGGTTGTATTATTTGCTTCTGCCTGTAAATTCGTTGCTACAGGAAAATGGAAATTTTCAGCAGTTGGTCGAAATTTAAAGAGTTGTTTGCTGGATGTTTTTACTTTGACAAGAAGATGGCAGCTCTGCTCTTTTTTTCACTTTGCCAAAAAAATTTAACGTTCACCACAATAGTCTTCTAATGTGTAAAAGACAAAACTATTCTTAAAATGTTATATAATTACAAAAATATGGTATAGTTTAAAAGACAAAAATACAATTTTTTAAGTTATAAAGAATTCCAAACACTCCCACTTAAAATTTCAAAATCACTTTTTTTTATCTGTTTACTTCAATATAGATAAAAATTGTTTCATTTTTCCTCTATTTTAAATTTTTGAAAATAGATAAATTTAACAAACGTTCAATAAGAAAATATTATTCATAGCCATCAGTGAAATTGGTGATTATATTTACGTATTTTAATTTTTGTTTCAGTAAAATTAGTACATTATTTTAATTTTTAAATCTCATTACGACATAGGTATATGAAAATTTTACAATCTTAAATAGATCTATAATCATTT